ATGTTCACGTTTGTATTTTTGTGCTGAGACATGGGCATCTGGAGTTATGATGTTTGAGGTGTTTCTCAGTGTTGATATCCTGTCTTTTCTTTGCTTCTACCCACTGAAGATCCTAGGCAAGTACGGTGGGTGTGTGGTTCTTGGTAGAGCATGTTTCTGTGGATTGGTGCATGGCAGAAAGGAAAGGAGACTGGCTAAGAGGAAAGGCTGAGAGGGGCAGCAAGAACGAGCTAAGGGGTCCGTGAGTCCACACGAAGAGGAAATGGAGGTGAGGTGGGAGCAAGGGATCCTGCAGGCAGGCTGAAACAATACTAAGAGTAAGTGTGAAGAGACCACATGGAGGACAGGAAGGATAGTGAAAATTGCCTACCTGAGTCCCAGCTCAGTGTGGCTACTGGGGTCTCTGGTAGAAAGTGTTTCTATTAGTCAGTAGATGACACAAGGGAATGGAGATGGGCTAGATGCAAAGGGTAGGGGGTTGTTGGCAGGAAAGAGAAAGCTGGGTCTGCACAGAGGCAGAGTCACCGGGGAATAGGATGGGAGGAGGGGCTCTGCAGGGAGGCTGTAACAGGACTAAGAATATGTCTAGAGACACAGGAATGAAAGAGCTGGGGGACCCTAGGCACAGACCAAGAGTGCATTCGTTATTTTTATTTTATTTTATTTTTTTAAAAATGTGTATCTTTTGATGTTCTTTGTGAACACAAGTTTCTCCTGGTTTGCTGTAATTCCTTTCCTGTAGTGTAATTTCCTTTAGCTCTTTGAGCACATTTAGGAAAGAAGTATTAAAATCTTAGGGTAGCAATCCCAACACCTGGTTGACTTCTCTCTCTTATGAAAAACAATTTTCAGTTCATTTGTTTGTGAATGTGTAAATGTTCTTAACTTCTGAGCCATCTCTCCCCCTCCTCAATTTTTATTTTTCAATTATCTACATATGTGTATATGTCTGAGTGTGATTTGTGAGCATATGTGTAGGTGATTGAAAAATGAGAAGAGAGAGTCAGATCTCATGGAGCTGAAGTCACAGGTGATTGGGAGCCAAACTTAGGTCCTCTGCAAGAGCAGCATGCACTCTTAGCCATCGAGACGTCTCTCCAGAAACCCACTCCTGCTGCTGGCCATATCAGAAGTGCAGAAGGTAGCAATTGACTTCAGGAGATCCACCCACCAGAATGCAAGGCGCTAATGGGTGAATCTTAGATAGACAAGGCTTTGGCTCCAGAATGTCTGCTATGCCTTTACATGTTTGCCGCTGTCATTTTTCTCTGGTAGCTGGCTGGCATGCTGTGAATGGGTGTGGGGAGATCCCCACTGCCTGTAATGTAATGTGATTATCTCATGGACAATCTTGCCTGTTTTACTGGGTATTTTTACCTGTGGATTATTATGAAGATGATTTCCACCTAAGCTGTACTGTTTAACTGAAGCAATGATTTTATACAAAAATAGTGTCAATTTAAATAGGATTTTGATGATTGAGGATCTTTAATAAATACAGGAAGGGATTGTGATAGAGCTTAGCTTAGTGGGAAAACTAATATAGTTAAAAGCAAGATGTGGTGTTGCCTCCACCCCTGATAAAGCAGGGGCTGCAGAGGATAGGGAATTAGAACAAGGAAATGTCACACAGCTAGTTTCTCTTGAGGAGCCATGTAGGCTGTGGTTTACGTTAATGATTAAGAAACACAACTGAGTCCCAGAAGCCCAGTAGCTCAAGTTCTTTTAATCTTAATGTTGGGAGATATCTTCAGAGGTTTCAGTGTACATCATAGCTAAAACAAAGCTTTAAATATGACTAAAGGTTAGGTTAAGATATTTTTGTTAATGGCTTTGAGATAGAAAATCTTGGAAAACAATTTAAAGTTTAGAAAGGTACATAATTGAGCAAGGAACTCATTGAGGTCAAGAAACAAGAACAGAGACAACCCGGTTATTATTAGCTGGTGTGCCTTTCTTGCTAGGATGGGTTGGTGATAAAAAGTGATGATTAATTTTTTGTACCCATTTCTGCTCTCAGCTTCCTGATATAAAAACTGTTGATGAATGAGTATGCACCCTGAGGATTTAAATTAGAGCTGACATTATTTTTCATATATAAAAGTTTAGATTTGTAAATATTTTAAGATTTTTTTATAAGAGATAAATAATAAAATGATTGGTCCTTTCTTTGTAACCGCAAATGCAGCCTGCCAGCAAAAGAACTGACTGAGAAAAATACCTTGCTTGCTTACACTTTGTTAATCTATAACAAATTGCTTGGACATGAATGTATGTGGATCCTTGGAGATATTTGTTTTTCACCTGTAATACATAAAATGTTTAATCATGTAAGAGAAATGAGAATCACAATGTTTTTTACTTGTATTAATTGTAATCATTCAATTGAAAAATAAAATGTAACCACATTGTAATTTTATACTGCTTAAAAGATTTTGCGCCGGGCAGTGGTGATGCACACCTTTAATCCCAGCACTCGGGAGGCAGAGACAGGCGGATCTCTGTGAGTTCGAGGCCAGCCTGGGCTACCAAGTGAGCTCCAGGAAAGGCGCAAAGCTACACAGAGAAATCCTGTCTCGAAAAAACCAAAAAAAAAAAAAAAAAAAGATTTTGCTGGCGTATGTAAGCTGTAAGGGAAAAAATAAATTTAGTTATAAGGAAGACATCAAGAGATACATCTGGATAGAGGTAAGAAAAGAAAGAGATGACACAGAGATGATAGAAAGATCCTGGAGTTGTATGCGTGCGTGCGTGCGTGCGTGCGTGCGTGCGTGTGTGCGTGTGTGTTTTCCTTTTTTTTCCCCACTGGCCACAGATAGTTAAGTTTAGCTCCCCTCTCCAGCCCCAGAGAATTAAGTTTTACTTCCTCAGATAGAAAAGTCAAATTGAGCGATTCAGTTCACCAACTCCGTGGCTCCCCACTCTATTCCTGAGCTGCTGAAAGCTGGTCTTCACAGCAGCACACTCAACCTTGTTTTTGAAACAGAATCTGTCTCTAAACCTGGATACCATAGTTACAGCTAGACTGGCTGGCCTTTCTCTGTTTCAGAACCCAGGTTTAAATGTTTGCCGCTGTGCTTCGGTTTTACATCTATGTTGGGGATCAAAATTAGATCTTCATGCTTGCTTAGCAGCCATTTTCACTACTGAGCCCTCTCCCAGCCCCACTTTTAAAAATTGAGATGGAGGCCTCCTGTAGCGCAGGATATCCTCCTTGCTGTGTAGCCAAGGATGAGCATGAAATTCTAATTCACATACATTCAGCTACATCACATACATCATACATCAAGTTCTGTGATAACAGGCCATGGCTCTTATCTGTGATTACAGACCTTCGCCGCCATGTTCAGCTCTTATTGTTTCTGCTACTCCTTTCCCTATGAATAGGGCCCATTGTCTGTATCACTGCCTGATGACTTTCTTTCCTTTTCATTTAAAAAAATATTTTGTTTCAGCCAGCCTGAGTCCTCAAGGCCTGGGCTGGTGGAAAGACATCCATAGGCCCGCCTAATACCATTCTGCTCAGGTGGGTGCTAGCCACCCACAGGCCAGCCTGGGTCCTCAAGGAAGACCTGGGCTGACTAAAGACATTGAGAGACAGGAGGGTGCCATTATGATGAACAAATGTGTGGTGGAGAAATGGGAGAAAAAGAGAGGCAGAATGGCTCATGTGTTGTAGAAAGAGGTGGAACGGAAGAAGGAAAGGTGGTGAGGAGCCGGCTTGGGTGGGTGGCCTGATTGTCACCCTGGTCATGGAGATGTCTAGGCCCAGGTTGCTGCCAAGGCCATGTCTGGGTCTGTGGTCCTGCTGCATCCAGGTTATATGTTCACATCCTTGGCCCATGTTGCCACCAAAGGCCACAAGGATGCCCGGTGTCTGGGCTGCTACCTGTGGCCACGTAGGTGTCTGAGGGCTATGCCACCACAAGGGCCATACTCATCTGAGTGGCCTGCATTGACGCCCAGAGCCATGGTGTCATCTGGGCCCCGAGCTGCTGCCAAGAGCCATCTCTGGGTCTATTGCCCTACAGTAGCCAGGATCTGAGTTGATGTCCATTGCTCCTCTTACCACCGAGGGCTGCATGGATTCCTGGAGTCTTGTCAGCCACCTGAGACCACGTTGGTGTCCAAGGGCCATGCTGCTGCCAGGGCCATACTGATCTGGGTGGCCTACGCTGCCACCCGGGGCCATGGGGACATCTGGGCCTGAGCTGCTGTTGAGGGCCATGTGCGGGTCTGTGGTCCTGCTGGAGCTGGGGTCTGTGTTGATGTCTGTGGCCTGTGTCACTTCAGGGAGCCATAGGAACCATGAGTGATGAAATCAGAGGGCCATGCTGAGATGGCTCTGCCCTTCATTGGCCCTGGGAAAGGTGGCCCTGCCCCTTGCTGGACATTGCAGCAAGATGGCTGGTTTCAATTCTCACAGCAGAGCTGCCCCTCCCCTCACACTCTGGAGAGATGGCCCCACCCCTCACCATGGGTGTGGGTGTACTGGCCCTTATGGCATGAGCATAAGAGAGCTGGTTCCACCCCTCACCTGAGGGGGGCAGCCCTAGTATCAAGGACTGACCAGCTCAACTACCACCCAGGTCCATATCCAGGTCCTTGGATTGGCCCACCCTAACATCTACCCCATCTAGGACCTGCTGGAGCATGTGAAGGGACTGGTTCTGCAGATCTCCATGACTAGGGGCCGCCATGGGGTATCAGAGAGGAGTTTCACTGAGGGTCAAGTGATGATGGTGTACCAGAAACCAGAGGCCTTGAACCAGACCAATGACTCATTGCAATTTTCATTTTCAGGTGGGGCTGATTGAACAAAAGGGTACACTGCAGGACAAACCGAGGATCCCAGTTCCACTCAAATGAATGAAGAGATGTTGAAGAGGCAGGAAAGACAGAGGAGAGATGTGGGTCTTTTGTTTGGTTGTTTGGTTTGGTTTCAATTTTTTAAAATTTCATTTTGGAGGGACGCTGCAAGGGTGAAGGGTGGATATGAGGGGACTAGGAAATGAGTGGAATTGGGATGCATGATCTGAAATTCTCAAAGAATCAATAAAGAAATTATGTAAAAAATACTTTATTTCATTTTAAAAATTAAAATTTAATTATATTGCTTCCCCTTCCTCCCTCCAACCCCTTCCATGTGTTTCCCACATCTCACTCTCTTCCAAAATTATGTCTTTTTTTAATAATTTTGTGTACACACACACACAATGTATATGATTTCAAGGCTAATGAATTGGTATCGGGTAACCAGTTAGGGAGCTCCTCCGTGGTGAAGACTAATTTTCCTCCTCTCAGCATTCCTCAGTCCCCTGTAGCTCTTTGTCTAGGGCTGAGGCCCTGTGAGGTTTCCTCCTTACATCTTAGCAACTGTATTGCTGTTGTCCTTGTTCAGGTCTGCTTGACAATTTTTTTGATGGCTGCATGGTGTCATATGACTAAGAATGTGTCCCACCCATGACAATTAGGAATGAGTATTTACGTCTAATTACATGCCATTGACCGTGGAACAGAAACACTGTAACCTGGGCTAAGGAAGACACCACAGGAGGACTGTATGTGACCACCTGTGGAAATCTGTAGCCCTGACTAGGGAGTGACAGGACATCTCAGTACATCTTCTCATTACACAGACAGCAGTCGGGGCCTGAGGCCTCCTCCAGTGTGCAGTCATGGTGTCACTGATGAGTGCAGCCTTGCTGTAGATGTGAGTGGGGTAGAACTGCACGGCCAGTGTCTAAGAGGGAGACGCTTCAGAGAACTCCTTGAAGGATAGCTGTTCAGGATTCCTGAATGGAAGAGATGTTTTATAGCTGCCCACGTGGCTCTGAGATAGTGTACTGTCGTTATCTGAGTGTCCTGTATACCTTGTGCTTAAATGTCCTCAGCCATGTGTTCTCCCTTCCTTCTTTCCAAATGTGAAAGCCTCCCATCATATGGAGGTTGTAGCAGGAGCTGAAGAGAAGCTTATTCAACCTGAGTCTAGAGAAGCCGCAGCTGCAGCAGATGGAGAATGAGGAGGGGGAAATGTTTGTAAGGCAAGTGGAGGTCCTTTGAACTGTCAGCACCAAGAAAAGACCTGCCTACATTGCCATGACCTCTGACATGTCTATGGTCCCTTGCCACCTGTGGCTTCAAAAGTTCTGCTGTTGTTACCGGGTGTCCCCTGACAAGACAGCAATGCCCATGGGTCAGTAAAGGGTGCAGAGATAAACCACTCAGGAGACAGTTTCAGGGAACAGTGTCTGCTTTATTGCACATGAACAATCACTTATATAGAGGAAACCTATCGACTGTGATTGGTTAGCACGTTACCTCAGATTGGACAGTGAGCGCTCCCACTGCCACGGTCTCTGCTGAAAAAGCATATTAAAGGAGACTATGTAGTGAGTGCAGACTCATTTGCAGGCCAGCTACTGTCTAGTCATGCTACTTCGGAATAATTCAGTGTTCTGACTTCTGGGAATTCCCAGGAGCATGTTGTGCAATGCTTATTTAGAATCGCGGTGTGCCAGGTAGGCTGGTCGCCAGTCATGCTTGCATTTTCACCTACAAAAATCTGCATTGTAGAGACAGCCTGAATGTAACCTTTCCCTCATCCCATGCTCCCATTTCACAACATCTGCATCTTGAGAACACTTTCCTCAGGCCGCACATCTGGACATGTTTGTGTACTATACAGATTCTCTTTGCCATGGCACATGGTTCAAGGACTGATCCAGGGTCACCCTTTACTTTCTCATCTGGAGTCTACTCTGTGTTTCAGAGCCAAACTGGGCTCAGTTGTGTGGGCACTTGTGGAACACTGGCAACCTGCACTCCAGAGTGAACACAGGGCCTTCTGGGACATCAAGGGAATTTTCCCCCTGTGGTTCTAAAACAGTGGTTCTCAACTAGTGGGCCATGACCCCTCTGGGGGTCAAATGACCCTTTCATTTCATTGCCTAAGACCATCAGAAAACAGATATTTACATTATGATTCATAACAGTAGCAAAATTACAGCTATGAAGTAGTAACAAAAATAATTTTATGGTTGGGGGTCACCACAACATGAGGAACTGTGTTAAAGGGTCACAGCATTAGGAAGATTTCAAACAGTCTGCTCTAAGGCAACAGTCTTTTATGTGCTTCTTACATAGTGCAGGCTAGCCTCAAGCTTGGGGTGTTCTTGCCTTTCCTTATCACATGCTGGGTGTGCAGGTGTGAGCGGCTACACCCTACTTGAATAGTTTTGAGCATTTTTGTGAAAGTGAGCCAGTTGTGATTCAATGTCCCTCAAACATAGGTTAAACTACCATAGATGTATTCAGACCACATACATCTCTCTGGTCAAGACACATGACAATCCAGAAAATATCTGGGTACTTGCAATGCATATCCCTTGCCCCAAGAACACTTGTACTCTTTAGAGGCTAGTTTATTTTTAATTTAATTTAATTATATTTATGTGTATGAATGCTTTGCCTATGTGTGTCTGTGCAATGTCCATGTCCTTGGTGCTGGTAGAAGCCAGAAGAGGGTGCTAGATCCCCTGAAACTGGAGTTACAGATGGTTGTGAGCCATTATGGGGGCGATAGGAATCAAATCCTGCTCTTCAGGAAGAGTACCCAGTGCTCTTCATCACTGGATAATAGCTGCAGTCCCAAGAGGCTTAGTTTAAAGCATAAATATCCTTGAGATTTCCTTGAAGGAAATGATTTGCTTTAAGAACAGTTCCTAAAAAATAAAAAAGAAAGAAAAGAAAAGAACAGTTCCTGCCCTCTGTAGAATACTTACTTCCTGCTGAAAATAATTTTTAAAAAAATTTGTTTATTTTTATTTTATGTCATTGGTATTTTGCCTGCACATATGTCTGTGTGAGGGTGTTAGATCTTGGAGTTGTGAGCTGCCATGTGGGTGCTGGGACTTGAACTCAGGACCTCTGGAAGAGCAGTCGGTGCTCTTAACCATTGAGCTATCTCTCCAGTCCAAAATGAATTTTTAAATAAAAGACAGTTCTCTGTGATGTAACTTAAAATGGGGGTGGGGTGGGGGCAACAGGGCTTTGTCATGATCATATTTCCCTCAAACAAGAGTGACATCATCCCTAAATATAGGGTATACTGGCTGCTACAAAGCTTGCTGTCAGGGTACAAAGTTGTCATAGTCCTCTCTCCAGGCAGAGTGTTCACACCAGAGAGCGATTACATTTCATCAACCGTGGAAGGAGACAAAACACCAGGGCAGTTCCAGAGCTCTGCTCATGGTAGGTGGTCACTAAGAAGAAGCTGAAGGTTGACATATGCTATAAATCTTCTCGAGTCTGAACTAGTGTGTTCTGTTGTAGCCTTTAATCTCAGTGTTGTATAGATGTGCCCACCAGGGTTTGTTACTATGCCACTGAGTGTTCAATACAATAGACCAATGTTTCACTTTCTGTTTTTTAAAAAAAGATTTTATTTATTATGTATGCAGTGCTCTGTCTGCTTGTAGGCCTGCATGCCGGAAGAGGGCATCAGATCTCATTACAGATGGTTGTGAGCCACCATGTGGTTGCTGGAAATTGAACTCAGGACCTCTGCAAGAGCAGCCAGTGCTCTTAACCTTTGAGCCATCTCTCCAGCCCTGTTTTTCTCTCTTTGAAGGTTTAGAATAAGAATAAGGATGAACAGAGCCCATAAATCTTAGTCCTTGAAGCCTCTAGCAGGGTTTCCTGTGTCCATACTACTTATTAGTGTGACTAGTGACCATGTGATTCAAGGGCTGAGAGCCCAGTCCAACACAGAAGAGGAGATCTTGGAATCCAGCGCAAAGAGAGGCCTAGCTCAAGGTATGTGGCTGCATGATCATAGGCTGCCACTACAGTGTTCAATCCTGCTCCGCAACCTCACAGGCAACAGGCTAGTGCACTCTACAAGTTTAGGAATCCCAGACCATCTCAATCCCAACAGACAAAACTCCTTACCAAGCAGCTAGACCTGGCATTGATAAAATCATGGTGTCTTCTGCAAGGACCTGCTATGGGGGGTAGGGTGGGGCCTAGGCTCCAAGTCCTGATAAAGAAAACTAGGATCTTTTAATGCCTTTATATGGATGCCAAATTTATAAATTCCTCAGGTTATAAAGGTATACTCAGGTTAACAGAAATTGGCTTAGAGATGAATGTCTAACAACTTATGTATTTGCTAACTGTTCCACATCAGACTTCTAGAACATTTTAAATAAACAACATTTTTGATGAATAAGGTATATTTTGTAAATAAGGCTTATAAATTTCTAAAGTGTCTTCAGGCTAGCAGACACTGACTTGAAGATACATGTCTAGCCTCTTTGTCATTGCAACTGTATTTATGGTTTAAAATTTTACTTTGATGCTAAAGTATCTTCAATTAAATCTACAATTCAAAAATTTAAGGTTAAAATTTAACAGGAGTAAAGATGTAAAATCCTAATCTTATAAAATATACTAATTTGTTGTAAAATGCTAAAGATAATACATTCAAGTTAACGGGCAGTCGCCTTATAAATGATCAAGTTCTTTAATGTATAAGTAGAAATGTAATTCATTTACAGGGACAAGCTTTATTTAGCCTTCTGTATATGTTTTCAAGGTTAATCCTGAAACAAGTAACTAAAACCAAGTAGTTTTCTTAAAATGAGTATGTTTAATAGATCACAGTTCTCAAAACCTCTCAGAGATCTGCTGAATATGACATTTAAAATGTTTAATGAGCCGGTGGTGGTGGCGCACGCCGGTAGGATTTGCTGAAGGAGGTGGAGGCAGGAGGATCACGAGTTCGAGGCCAGCCTGGGCTACACATTTTTGAGCTGGGCGATGGTGGCGCACGCCTTTAATCTCAGCACTCGGGAGGCAGAGCCAGGCGGATCTCTGTGAGTTCGAGGCCAGCCTGGTCTCCAAAGCGAGTTCCAGGAAAGGCGCAAAGCTACGCAGAGAAACCCTGTC